TGGTCGGCTCGCTATTCCAATGCAACCAATCCGCCCATCCACACTCAGCGGGATCATGAACCCCGTCCCCACACTCCTCCACCACATGCCCCATACAACCACAGAAAAAACAAAAATCCGGCAACTTCTCATACGTAACAGGGTACCGTTTCATCTCCTTCAGGGTAATACTCACGAACCTCACCAATGGCTTCTGAACATTCACAAAAACCCTAACTCTTAAGTGGCTTGATGGGTTGATCCTCCCCTCATTAACTACCACCGTAAACGGCGGCTCTCCGACCTTCTTGGCAACCTTCTCCGCCAACTCCGTCTTTCTTGTGAGCCCATCCGGTAAGCCTTTGATCCTTGCCCACAAAGGATACATATCCAAAGCATATTCAGAGACGTTAGTAAACCCATCATACTCCACAATGACCACCGGATCCCTTCGAAACTGCCAAGGTCCTCCGTCCATTACCCGTTTCCAATCGCCCAGGCAATGACACTGAGCCAAAAACAAGTTCGGCCCTTTGATATTGAAGGTTACTCCTTGGGCACAGGCCCATGCGTTCCGCATTGAATTAAGCAACGCTGCATGACTAAACGGCCTCATAGTATGCACTCGAAACAAGCACAACCAACGAACATCCTTAATCAGCTCATCTACCTCTCCTGAGAGATCGAGATCCTCCTCCTCCTCGCCATGGAGCTTTAGGCCTTCAAACACGTCCTCCAACTCTGGTTCTGGACCGAATTGATCCCATCCATTAGCATCCTCCCCCCGATCTGCATCTTCTTCACGATCTGCACCTTCGACCTCAGCCCCGTCCGCCTCCATGGATCCTGCCCCATTCATGCCCAAAGACGCTCCTGAATCCCTCCGTTGTCCTCCTGCAACTCCCGTCTCCGCACTAAACCCTAGATCGCCACGAACTCCCGTCCTTCCTCCCGCGTTCACCTGGACTTCCGATTCTGCCATGCAACCACACTGGCTTGTTCTCGGGATCAAACCCTATCAGACAGCGGTCGCGATCGCTAATCGTGACGCTGGGTTTTTTTGGTGGACTCCGACGGCGCCGCCGGAGGAAAAGGTGGACTCTAGGGAAACCCTAGAGGAAAAGGTGGACTCTATGCCGGTCTACTCACAATTTTGTTTCCTTGGCACGAGCTCCAAGCTATTCCTTCACGAAACTTTCACATGAGTGTAATACTTGATCATGTTTGATTTTTTTAAAATAGAATTTTTCGACTCTTTTTTGAAATCATTTTTTTCAATTCAGGTTCATTGGGACCCTTTCCATATACATACACTGTTTTTATACTCAGTTGCTATTCCTCAGGCAGTTAACAAGAAAGTATGTTTCAGGCAATTTCACCTAGAAAAAGAGCGCATCGCTGGGCTTGAGCCAATGACGTTGTGACCAACCATGATATTGCCGTCAAAGATCAAGAAGAGGGTTCACTGATGCATATAAGGAGGGGGAAGGGGCTTTTCTGACCTCCCGAAGATTAGACAACTCACGAGCTTGAGCTGGGGACGGCGCGGCGTTGCCACGAGTATCGTCCATGTCGCCCGAGAGGGCTTGCCAGGACCTTGCCGAAGATGGGGACGGCACGACTCGCCTCCTTGGCAGGAGCGAGCATCGCGCCTCGCTTGGAACAAGCACTACCCCGTCACTATTGGGGGATTTTTGCTGGCGGTGCCCTCCGGCGGCGGGTGGGGGGAGGGAAGGAGGGAGGTGGCGGCCGTTCTGGTTGCCGCGTGCCACCCGAGTCGCGAAGGATGGCACAGGGCGGCTCAACCTATCAATTGACATACATTGTTGTAAGAAAGTTGCAAATAATATTTACGACAAATGTAATAATCACATAAAGCGTATAGTAGTTGCATTGCTTCGTTTTCAGAAATTAGGCCGTGTTAGGGCATGTACAATGGTGGCATATGGATACATATGCCCCATGATAAAAAGTAATTTGAAGCACCTACATTAATCTTTCTTCTCCAATGCAAGCTATCACTAATGGGCCTCATTAAGAAATAAAAAATAAAGACTCTAGTACACATGCATCTCTACTTTTCACTCCAACCTTTTCAGCTTTTGTCACTGGACCACGCTTTTTCTCTTCAAGCACCCGCCTCCTGGAGAGGATCCTGCTTTTCTATCCGAACCTATTTTACGTCATATCCGATCCTACATGGCATGTGAGGCATCACCTTGAGGCTATGCATTGTACATGTCCTTAAAGAAAGGAGAACTCGGGCTATATTCTGACAGTAGACATGGCTACGCCTGCAGCATCCGCAAGCAGCTGATGGAGCGGTACCCACAACATTGCATCAGCCGCCGCCGGAGGTCCACCTCCGCCGCCGATGCCGCCGCCGACCACCGCGGGCACGCTCCCGAACAGGGCACTCCACGCCCGGCTCCTCCGCTCCGGCGCGCTCGACGCCGACCCGTCAGCCGCCGCCCCGCTCGCCGCGTCGGCCGCCAACTCCTCCCTCCCCTACGCGCTCTCCCTCCTCCGAGCCCACCCCTCCACCTTCTCCTACAACACCGCCATCCGCTCCCTCGCGCACGGCCCCCGCCCGCACCTCGCCGTCGCCCTCTACCGCTCCATGCTCCTCGGCCCCCTCTCCAACCCCAACAACTACACCTACCCGTCGCTCCTCGCCGCCTGCGCCCGCCTCCTCCCCGCGAGCTCACCAACCCCGGCGGCCGCGCCGGGCACCGCCGTCCACGCCTCCCTCTTCCGCCGCGGCCTGGATTCCCGCGACCGGTTCATCGGCGCGTCGCTCCTCTCCTTCTATGCGGCCGCCGGGGACCTGCCCGCCGCACGCCAGGTGTTCGACGCAAGTCCCCCCGGCCAAAGGGACCTGCCTCTCTGGAACTCGCTCCTCCACGCCCACCTCTCCCAGGGCTTCTACGCCCACGTGCTGCGCCTCTCGCGGCAGATGCCCGCCGCCGACGAGGTCACGCTGCTCGCCCTCGTCTCCGCCTGCTCGCATCTCGGCGCGCTCGACACAGGCCGCTGGGCGCATGCTTCCTATGCAAGGACCCGCCGGAGCACCACCAGGAATCTGGGCACCGCTCTGCTCAACATGTACATGAGGTGCGGAGATGTCGAGAGCGCGTGGTCCGTGTTCCGGGAGACGCTCGACAAGGATGTCCGGACGTGGAGCGTCATGATCGCCGGACTGGCCACCAACGGTCTCCCCAGGGACGCGCTGGCCTTGTTCGCTGAGATGAAGAACACAGGTGTGGACCCAGATTCCATCACCATGACCGCTGTGCTGAGTGCGTGCGCCCATGCTGGCATGGTGGATGAGGGCAAGAAGTTCCTGGACTGTATGCCGGTTGAATATCGTGTACAGCCCACCATAGAGCATTATGGCTGCGTCGTCGATCTGCTTGGTCGAGCAGGGCAGCTAGATGAGGCATTGGCTCTCATTAAGACTGTCCCGTTCAAGGCTGATGTTGTGCTATGGGGTGCTCTCTTGGTCGCATGTAGGGTTCACAAGAATGTCGACATGGGGGAGATGGCTGCCATGGAGATACTCAAGTTGGATCCCCAGCATGCCGGGGCATGTGTGTTCTTATCTAATGTCTATGCTGATGCTGGGAAATGGGACCTTGTACAAGGGGTAAGGAGCTCGATGAAAGAACAGAAGATATACAAGCCTCCAGGATCCAGCATTGTTGAGCTGAATGGTGTGGTTTACGAGTTCTTGTCCGGGGACCGTTCACATCCTCAGTCTGATCGAATATATGCAATGCTTGATGAGATTTGCAAGACCTTAAGCCTCAAGGGACACAAGCCTTCAACTAAAGAAGTTACCTTCGACGTTGATGAGGAGGACAAAGAAGTTTGCATTTCGCAGCACAGCGAGAAACTCGCGCTTGCCTTGGGACTCATAAGCACGACAAGAGGGGATGTCATCCGTATAGTGAAGAACCTGAGAATCTGTGAGGATTGTCACTCTGTCATGAAGATAGTCTCAGAGGTCTACGATCGAGTCATAGTTGTCAGAGACCGAAACCGGTTCCACCACTTCAAGAACGGCTCCTGTTCCTGCTTGGACTATTGGTAGGACAAAATCAGAATGGTAAGGTTCTCTAGGAAATATGCAATCAATTCATTGCCCTTTTGTATTAGGAATCACTACTTTCATACAACCAGTGGATGGAACTATATAAACATAGAAGTAACCTTTGTCCTATTCACGATCATAAGATCCTTTTGTTGAAGTAAGTCTTTTTTCACGAATGAAATGTAGATGGCATGATCATGTACTTCAAGACAAGTGTCTCAGCCGCTGGTTGACATGATTTATACGTCACTGCGGAGTGCGGACTAATTGAGCAAGAAGCTTGCCAAAATTCTGACCCCAGTGGCACAAACTGTTCACCTAACGTAAGTCTCCACTCTCCCTCCCAGGTCCCAGCATATACCTCTTCACTTGTACTTGACTCTAGGGTTCGACAGAAACTCTGATGTAGATGAGAGTTTTACAAAGAACACATTTTCTTCATTGTTTGCTGCTGTCAACAACAAAAGATTCCTTTATAAGAGTATGTATATTTCACTTTTGTCCTCATTACACTGTCTGAGGGCCTGTTGAGGAAGGCTCCTGCTCCCAACTCCACAGATAGAGCGCGTGGAGCTTCCCCGGGGAGCTGAATCTGACAAGAGCTATTATATCCGAGGAGCTGAATCTATAGACTGGCTGTAGTCCACCACAGGAAAGATGAAAGGGGAGGGAAGGATACACTATTTTTGTTTCATACCCATTTGTGCGCCAGACACGGTGACATGGATTATCACTGATATATATATTTACAGATATAATAAAAAAATTCAGTTGATAGTGAATTTACAACAGAATGTAAGGATGTCACTACTAATCCACAACATATCAAGGGGTACATATAGACCATGTCATTTATACGTGCATGCCATTCTGGGGAGAAGCAGAGGTGGGAAATTCCCTGTTCTCAATTCTCAAAGAGAAGACGCGGCTATGCCTTCAGCATCCGCAGGTAGTCTTCGATTATGGACATAGCCGAGGAGCGGTACCCAGAGCCGAAAAGGTTATAGTGATTCAGGTAGTGGTACAGGAGATACAGGTCCCTCCTCTTCTCAAAGCCTGGCTGCTTCGGCATCACCTGAATAACAGTTCAGTATGTTACATTTAACTTTTCCATCAGGACGGTTAATTGAGAGGCCCACCCGGCACAAGACGTGATATAGTTAAATATGAAGAGAGAAAGACAAGCAGTAAAAAAAAAAGAGTACAGCTTGAGGTGAGGGACTGCATTTTATGGGAGTGATACACAAATTCTACTACCCTGTTTTATTACGAAACATGTAGTGGAACAAAATGAGTATCGGATACCTCGAAATAGGAGCGGTAGAATTCCCCTCCGAATCCAGCACACCAGGACATCCCAAACTCTGCTTCATTGTGTCCATCTGCAGTTAAAGAACAATGGATGACGTTTCTTCAACAATTATCTACAGGTTCTAACAAAACTGTGCAAGAAAGTCAGTGATTCCAAACAAATTAATAACCACTTGGTTCGTGTGTATGTTGATCGACAATTTTCTTATAAAAAATGGATCAACATATTGCATACAATGATTGTGATTCTGGAGATTAGGGCAAGAAATAGTGAATTTTACATACAGTAGCATGCTGGATCCAATATTACAGGATCTCCATTGGTATCAGCGCTTATATTTCCACTCCATAAATCTCCATGAAGCAGGCATGGCTCAATAACAGCACCGTCAAACAGTGGATGCATTTTCTCAATCAATTGTTGACCTGCACAAGAGGAACTTATATGAAAACGTTATGAACTATTACAAACTTGCGATCAAGAGAAAAATGACTAGCACTCAGTTAATGACGTGTCCATCAGAAGAAATGGGAACATAATGGTTAAGTTCCAGATTCTCCTCCTTTCTCCTATGTACCTTTTTCATATATGGCTGAATCTCCGAACCGTTGCGATATCAACTTCAACTGGTATCCCAGTCTATGCTTCGAGTAAAACTCAATCCAGTCAGCAGTCCAAGTGTTAATTTGCGGAGTGCTACATCAGGAAAGTTGGTGGATTAAAAAGAACTGTATTTCAAAGCAAACATGGGTTGCAAGCCACACCACTCGAGATGGACTTCAAAGTCAAATGTCACTGAGAGACAGTCATCTACTCTTAAAAAAGGGATAAGTTAGTTTTAGAATAGCGAGCGCTTAATTTTACCTTCCAATAGTATTTTCGACGTAGAAACCATATCCCTTGTCAGATTTTGCAGCTTTATGCATTTCGACCAGCTTTCTTCCTAGAGCTGACTGACAATAAGTTGTTTGTTAATGATGCATGATTTACATAAAAGCTTGCAACAAAAGGTACAAGTTACCTTTTTCTTTGAACGAAAGGGGTTTCGGGACAAGGTTACCTGGTCACCCCTAGAACGACCAAATTGAATATATTCCATGATGATAAAAGAACCACCAGTTGGTAACGAGCCAACCTGAAATAAAAGGGGTAGAAATACAGAGTAAGAACTAAGAAATACAGTGAAGAAAGACGGCTGTAGGCAGGTGCCAGGTAGTGAAAAATAAAGATAGTATGCAATCGCTGTGCTAAGATGCTAACTATTAGTTGCTAGATGAGAAACAAACCAACGACTTTCAGATGAATGTAACTGAAACAAGAATCATGTATACCAATCAAATGGCAGAGTGAGTGTCGAGTTCTGCGATGTATGGTGTAGTGCGGTTTCAGTCATGAACGTGAGTTATGATTATCTTGTACTGGTTTATGCATCGCACAACTTATACATGTTCTTGAGTCTGGTTCTTCACTGACCTTGTACGGCAAAGGAACACGGATTGACTTGGTGTCATACATTGCCTTCAAGCCCAGAGCCTCTCCTTCAAACATAGCTGGACCGATGCGCCTGGCATACAACAATATGTTTCAATTCCATTGTTGCCACCAACATCACTAGTTGCGCTACTCCACCACAAGATGAGTTTGAGTTCTGAAACATAAATTTGTGTTAGCACACCTGTTGGTCTTCACAAAAAAGGAGCCAGCATCGGTGTCGTAGCGCTGGGCGGCGTTGATGCAGCCGCCCCCAATGGAGCTGGTCCCTGTGATCTGGGTGGCCTTCCCCTCGGTGAGGATCCACTCCTTGATTGGGTCGTCGCTCATCGCAGCCACTGCCCAATTGCACGGAGACAGGATCAAAACGACACATAAAAACATATAGTAGAATCCACAGCCAAAGGTACAGCCATGGCAATGCCATAAATTGGGCCTGGAAACTGACGCTGGTACCCACATAATCGCAACTGTTGCAGGCCATGGCTGCCACAGCACCTCAAACCCTATCCAAATTTCTACGGCCAACATTTCACATCGGGCCTGGCTATGGCTTTGCCCTCGGCGTGCTGCCGAAGACCATCGACGCAGCTCGGAGGGCGGCGAAACTGAGCTTCCGCACTGGTCGTACGGCGGCGAGGTGAAAAAATGTTGCAGGATTGAGTTTTGAGACAAGTGGAGGAGGACTTCTTACCGACGGATAGCCTGGAGGCTGCTCTGCGGGGGCAGGCGGAGCGGCGAGGCCGGGGGCGGCGACGGAGGATGGAGGAGGCGGAGGTGGAGGGCGAGGAGGCGGAGAGCAGCGCCACGTTTGCTGCCATCGCAAGCGCTCGCCTTCTTCTCCGAGCACGGACGGACGCCCGGCGAAATCCTATTGGCTGCCGCCCGCCGTCGCCATCGCCGTGGCTACTGGCTAGGACTAGGACTGACGAAACGGGTGCTGCCCAGGGCCTGACGGGCCTGGTCTCGACAAGCGGATGGGTTTGTCCCTCCTTGTTCGCTGGTCTAAATGGGCTGCCATCCCATTATCTCCCCAACGGTTTGGGCCTTTTGGGTGGGATTCCGATTTACCGGGCTAGGTTTTCTGTGGTCTTCTTTTTTTATATTTTATTTCTCTTTCTGTTTATTTTCTTCCTTTTTTCTGTTTCTTTCTTTTCCTCTTTTCAAATAGAATTCATGAATTTTTTTAAATTATCGAATAATTTTCAAATCCATAATTCATGAACATTTCTAAATTCATGAACATTTTTCAAATCCATGATTTTTTATTCAATTTCATCAAAGTTTTTCCAAAAGTCAATGTTCAATGGTCAGTGGTCAAGTGGGCTGCGGCCCATATAGTGTGCATGAGCGCCAGCGTAACGTATGTTATAAGTGCTAAGGAGGAGCTCTCGATGTGGCATTTATATGGAACAAAGAAAATGTTAATTTGCATCGTTATTTTCCCTTCTCTATGTTGAAGGTCAAGATCGGGGGTACTGTGGAGGGTTGTTGTGGGGCGGCGAAGGAGATGTGTGCTCAAGCAGAGGCCTTTCTTAGACGGTGCGTGATGACACGTTGGTGAAGCCAGAGGTGGCCGGAGGGATCCAACATGGGGGTCTTCTACGGTGGCCCGGCTTGGTTGGATCGTCGGAGAAAAAGGACGTCAGTACACGATTTTGTACGGCCCGAGCTCACATCAGATCCAAAACTGGCATACATCGGTATGTTTTTGTTTTCATGTTTTCTTTATAGAGTCCTTGCCTTTTGTTTGTTGTGGTGAAGTGGTGGCATTGCCCCAGGGTAGGCATAATGTTCTCCTCGCCCTATCCCCATTTCTTTCATGTTTTTTTGGTGGCTGAGGGTGTGTGGAGCTGTGTCTTCGGCAGGTCTTTCAGGATCCGATCCGTTTAGATTTCCGATGGATCCTTCTGCAGTCAACCGTCTGTCATGATCTTTGTCGCAAATCACAACCGCCGGCATCTCCTGATCTGCATCAACAATTTTCTAGCCGTTGCTTTTACAAGCTCTTGAGTTTTAAAAAGTTTTCTCTACGAAGAGAAAGCCTAGAGGAGGCATCAAGCTATGCTCACAGCTCACCACCAGTGGATGCAGGAACAAGAAGACTTCAACACCCCAATATTTTTGAATGTTCTTCTACTTTTTAAGGTCCCGTGACACTTAATATATGGCCTTAGGCCTTTTTGAAGAAAAAAACTTCCTAGTCACATGTAGTACTAGTGCGCTAGAAATGCTATATAGCATTGTTATGCAGTACTTGTGTACATAGTTATGGTGGCTAAATTTAAACATAATGAGAGTGCTCATATATTTTACGTGGATATTGTCTGAAAAGGCGCTTTGCGATGATGCATGCATGAAGAAATTTATAAAGTACTCCCTCTGTCTTGAAATGTAAACGTCTTAAAATTCGAGACGGAGGGAGTATTTGCTTGATTGCGCAATATTGCTGACAATGCCGACACGGTGTTTTTGGATTATGCACAAGATGAGTATCTACTTCCAGTGCGACGAAAGGCGCCAACATCAACACAAGCGGATCCCATTCGAGTTTGATGCTTGTTGTGTGCGAGAGGACAATACGATTAACTATGTTGATGAAGAATGTTTCCTTGGATATTGTAGTAGTTTGAATTGCTTTGGTTTCTTAATGAAAATCTGAAGGGGAGACCCTTCTTTTATCAAAAAAGAAAATATTCGTAATACCTGACTCATTCGTATCATAAATATTAAAATACATGTCACGTAAGGACCGACCTGACAAAATTGAAAAGATAGCAGAACATCTCTGAACTTGACACCAAGGACCGTCACCTGCCTCCGGCACCACCACAACAGCCATCGACGAAAAGAATGACGGATCACCTCCTTAACCGAGCTCGATGTGGCTCCATAGCTGATATGCAGCTTTGCGGATCTCTAAGGTGGCTCACCAAAAGTGAAGCCATTGCTGTTGAACGAATCAAACCGAGGCAACACCCCGCGCACGCCATCGAACTTCAGATCCGACACCCCACCACGACTCAGACGTCGAAGGAGGAAACCATACCTCCCATCCACGAACCACAGACCCAGCACACGTTCCGTCCTCCAGATGTCGTCGATGCAGACCACAATCTGCATTCGCTCCTGAACTACCTCCCAAGCTCCGCGCCGACGCTAGAGCAAATGTCGCCGCAACGGCGGAGCCCGTGGACACAGGTCCACCACGAGGATGCGGCCACTGCCACACCATCATTGCTTGAACAGACTGGTTTCTAAATCCATCCCCAACCATAGGACCGATGGCCTTGTCAGGGAAGTATCTGAAGAATGTTTATTCAGTGTCGTCATCATCGCCGCTGAAGCCAAGACGATGAACAACCTAAAAGCCTAGACTACGAGGAAGTACAAACAATGCACACGCTTGGAACCGGGGACCCCCCTCACCCTCCCCCTCACCACCGACGATCGAGGTCGCCGGCGGAGGGGAGCTGCCGCAAGACGGCGTTGGAAGATTGATCTCTCCTGGCGGCGAACCCTAGCCGCCGGGGGCAAGAGGACTTATCAAAAAAGAATGTTGATGACGAATATCATGTGAACCAGATGTATGGGTAATGGGTCCATGTATTTTTTATTAATGTTATGGCCTCACTCTATTTATACTATGTATACACATGATTAGTTATTCAAGTGAACTGTGTGTATTGTCATTGTTTTTCTTCACAGCAAATAATTCATGAATCTGTTATTGCAATGCTTGAACCAAACACACTCGTGAGTCGTGACCAAGATAGCTAATTCCACATGGCTTGTGGCACGCTCAGAGACGGAACAACGCCGAGATCTAATCTTCACCAGCCCCGGCATCCTCCTCCTCCTCCTCCGCATCATCGTCATCTCCGGCGTCCGCATCATCCTGACATTCATCTTCTTCCTCCTCCGCCGATAGAGCAGCGGGCACCCTGACATCTCTGTAGATGCAGACGTAGGGCGCGTCGCGGCCGTGGTACGTGCCGGTCCACCGCCCCTCGTCGACGCCGCTCGCGTCCCAGAAGGAGGCGTACAGGAACATGGGCTTCTCCGGCCAGGGCTCCCCGTCGCGCCGCTCCTCCCTCCGGATCACCTCCCCGTCGACGCGCCACTCGATGGCCTCGGCGCCCCAGGCGACGGCGTAGTGGTGGAACCCGTCGGAGGAGTCGAAGGGGAGCTCGTGGACCGCCTCCCTGCCCCCGCAGCCGGCGACGAAGAAGTTGGTCTGCACGGCGCGCTTGTGGTTGCCGAGGAACTCGAAGTCGATCTCGTCCATGTCGCCGGAGCCCTCGAGGGAGGAGAGGTAGAGGTTGTAGTTGAGCCCCGCGGTGTCGCCGGCCGGGGCGCGGACCGCTGCGGCCACGGCGCCGCCCGGGAGGAAGCGGCTGCGGGACCGCCACCGCGCGCCGCCGCGGTGGTCGTAGGTGACGTGGATCTCGCCGGTCTCCGGCGCGTGGCGGCAGGCGTCCGGGGTGTAGTCGACGGCGATGCGCGCCAGCGGCTCCGTGCCCTCGGGGCGCAGGTGCTCGTGATGGTCGTCCGGCGCGACGTCGCTGGACTCGGAGTCGGACGCCATGGTGGTGGATAGTAGAGCGCGGAGGAGTGGGAGCGAGGTGGTGGGGTTTTGATGTGCCGGACAGCGCCGCTCCGGCAACGTGCTCTCCAGCTCTGCAGCTGCAGGAGTATAACGTGAAGAATCATGTATGTGCAATAATGAGCCAACTTGCTGAGTGAGAACAAACAACATGAGAACCATTTGCTGCAGGAGCAACATGAACACCATGTAAGAAATATTATCTTGATTACACATGACAGCCAAGAAAGGCTGGATCACAATTTTGTCCATGAAAGAACATTTTAACATTTCCTGATCAGTTTGCTAAGTCCCAGTCGACTGAGACTTCGTTATGTCTCAATCTCGATGCTATATTCTTTTGATCTTGCACGGAGATTCGTATTTTTTTCTTTTCAGTTTTGTTTTTCATTTTTCTTCTCATATACTATTCACTTGAGACCTAATCACACCTTTTCCGGATATCCCATTGCAGATGGAAAAATAAAAACATTTTATGTAAGGTGGAAAAATAAATAAGACAATTTTGATAAATAACATCTAGATGTGCCCTAAGTATTGCACATCTAAGTCCTATGTCATTGATATTATGCAAATATTCGTTTTGCTAAATCACATCTAGATGTGCCATAAATATTACACATCTAAGTCTTGTGTCATAGATTTTACGCCAAGATTCGGATGGGTGTATGTTTTTTTTTCTTTTTATGTTCGGTTAAGTCACTTAGATGTTCAATAATTAGATCAGATCTAGATATGCCCTAGATAGACCCTAGAGAAAAAACTATTGAAGCCGTCGCCGCTGAAAGATCCACATATCCAATGTGGAAGCTAGTAGCGATAAGCAAAGCGATCTTCCGAGCCGAAGAGGGGCTATTTTTCTATCCAAACCTCCAAATTCAAAGGCCTTACGTGGCACCAGAAACCGCAGCAATGTGAGATTGTGACATAGGGAGGGCAATAACCAAACTGCAAAGGAAAGGAATAGGTGCCACCACGAACGACAAACCTTAACCTCACCTACCAAATAGGCTGACATGAAAGATGTAAAACTGGAGAAATTTGGTTTGTATGCGTCAGATCTAGATCCGACGGCTATTACTGAAAGATGGCAGGCACACCATCATCACCAACTCAGGACCTCTTTGATTCGCAGGATTTTGAAAACGCAGGAATAGAACACGGCAGTATTACAAGTTTCAAACTGATATTACAAATGTTAGGAGTAATGCTGCA